GTAAAAGCAGTGGTGATGTGAGAGTGCTTCCTGATAGTGATGCGTTCAAAATTTCAGAACATACCGCGAACAGAAGAACCTCGAAAGTCTGCATTGGCGAATTGGGCGCTATGTACCTGTGGGAAGGCGAAATAAAAGAAGAACGGACGTTCCTTCTGATCCTGAAAAGAGCGATGAAGGAAGATCAGCTTATACGTGTCTGCTGATTTTCAAATTCTTAACTGGAAGGGATGGAATGGAAAAATTTCGATAAGATTAACAATGAATTTTGACAGAGATCCCTTTCCTTTTTGAAGCCATGCGTTTTGATGATCGATGTCTTTTTTCCCTTTTCACTACAGCCTGTTAGGGAAATAAAAGCTAGGAGAGACATACCGTAGTCATCCTCATGTGCAGAAATCGCCTCCAATCATGGACAAGGTTTTCGGTCATCCATTCAAATCTCAGCGGTTGCTGAACAATGTCGTCGCCATCGTAGAGGAAACACATCGCAGCATCTGGCCCTTGTGGGTAGAATTCCTGAACAGTACATTTATGCAGCACTTCAACCTACAAGATGGAATAAATGCCTTCAATGAAGGCGCATTTTCAACAAGATAGCCCGATTTTCTCCAGAGCTGTCTCCATCTTGAATCTATCAATACTATAGAACTTTCGGCTGGTAATTTTTTGAATGTTATTCGTAGCTCGGAGAAGGATTCTTGGAAATGTCAGACCTTCAAGGGGATAAATGCAGGATTTAATCATGACCTGACTTAGGTTTACCCTTGCATATATGTACATGGCTTATTCGTAGCTCGGAGAAGGATTCTTGGAAATGTCAGACCTTCAAGGGGATAAATGCAGGATTTAATCATGACCTGACTTAGGTTTACCCTTGCATATATGTACATGGCTTCTCGTTGCAAGAAATTGTTCCTTGTTTCCATGATCCCATCAGCAGTATTTAATTTGAAGGGAATCCAATGATTGTATAATGACGTCGGTAGTGTCAACCCCCGTAAAACTAATTATAAGTAGGTAGTCACAAGCTACAAATGTAATGGGGGCCAAATAACAAATAGGTAGTCATGAACTACAGATGAAGACTCTGACTACCCAGTTTGCTCTATAAATGTGATTGCGGTTTTCTTTATCTATGGACTCACGACGTGGCTACTGATTGGGTAACCACAATTTCGAAACGACTTATGGTTAGAAGCTCTGTGGGTAATGTGTTCGGTGATTTTCTGGCAATTATTCTTCGAAAAGAAAAGCGAACCGTAAAACGGTAGCGTAGAGCAGCGCAGAGTACCCATTAGAGCTGCCGTACAACGAACGGGAATATGCCAGGAAAGGCTCGTGTCCCTCTCCTAATGTACCAACTTCTGGGGAGGTTTGGGAAAGTCAGATCCTGCAGTTATGGGCCTTTCAAGTGTATGTACTCACGGATACTTCTGGTCATTTCTGGGACTAAGGGCAATTTCGGTTCACAAACGAAAAAGGGACACTTCAATGTTTTGGAGTACACATTCTTGATTTCTTCACACCTATTCACTTCTATATTCGGTTGATGGTTATCACATATTCCCCTGTTCCACGTAGCTGTTTGAGGCCAGACAGAAGACGATTGCAAGTATTATTGAATGGATTAATATGAATAACACATTGCGTGTACAATTGCATAGGGATAAATACTGTTATCACCTCTAATGAGGTTTTGCACGCTGCTGTGAGCTTTAACGCATTGGGTCTTTCGTGAATTCTTCATCCGAAATGATAGCTACCTGTGTCTTTCACGCGATGACCGTCAATGTATGCGGGAGATGATGTCAAGAGCCGTGTTTCATTTGACATCATCACCCGCATATCGATGGTGAGCATCCAATGGTGAACAGTACGAGCGGAAGTTATTGGGCGCCCAATCGGGGATGATTTGTTATCCAAATAACATCTTTTGTTATGAGTCAAACTACGTAAATGTTTTCTTCGTAATTCATTCAGGCAAATAAACAACAAGAAGTCAAAAATCCTNACCTGCGTAGTATCGCAAGCCCATGTGTTTGTGAACGGTAGATTGAGACCAACAAAGTCGAAACCCCGTCTTGAGGGCAAGTGAGCTCCATCGGTGCTGTTCAGTTCGTTGATGCCAAGGTGCCACTTACCGATCATTCCAGTTGCGTAACCTAGAAAATAAGAGGTGATGGAAGACAACGATATGGAAATCTATGCTTTTTTCTAGAAAACTGGAATATGTGGTTTATCTGAAAAGATGAAAATCCTGAGATGTTCGATGCTGGTACCCAGAAGTCATTGTATGGGAAAAACACACATTCAAAGGTCATACGATTCCGGGTGAAAGTCGAATACCTGGGGAATGATCAACGTCAAAAGTTCCATTTTTTAATCTTAGTCACTATGCTCATACATTTCTATGAATGTTTGGAAATTAGAATAGGTATAGGCCCAGAAAACATGCAAGGCTCTATAAGGAATCCCCTTAATATTTCAGCACCTCTGAGAGGTTGATGGAGTTTTAGCCTACTCGTTGCGTCGTTAGCTTTTGAGTTCATTCAAATATAGAAATTTGGCTTCAGATGAAGCTTGACGTCTCATACTCAACGTCGTTCAATCACCTGAAATCCTGAGCTTCAACCTCTACAACATGTGTTCCAATGAAATGTTACAGAAGATGATGTCTGAGAAGGTCGGAGCATGCAAAACTTGTGTTCTACTGACCCGGGTAGCTAGCCTGCGACAACCTGAGAAGCACAGTCAGGAAAACGCTTGTAATACATTGATGGGATTTGTTAGGGTTTTTCTCTGGCAGAATGCGCCCACAGTTGATAGTGAAGCGAAGACATATTGTATGTTGAAAATCTCAGTCCCACGCCCAACTGGGTATGTATTATATATAAAAGCCTAAGCCTAAGCATAAGCGAGCGCTTGTAGAGTTAACCGGGCCTGATACTCACCTGCTTCCTTGAGCATCTCGGCCATCGTCGTCTCTTGTTTTGGCAAGCCTCCATCTTGTTTTGGCAAGCCTCCAATATCGAATGGCATGAACACGCGCCTTCCGCCGACGACTCCAAGACGAATCGGTAGTCGGCCTAGCAATGTTACGATATGAAATTTTAAGATTTGAAGAACGAGTGAAGGGCATGCCTTACGACCTAAGCAAGCCTCACCTGCAACTATTTTCATCAGTGGTTTCTGCAATGGGGAATCTATACAGTACGGTACGTAATTTAAATGTGTCCATGTATCGGGCCGAGGTGTTCCCAAATGTGTTCGGAGTCATAGCACATGAACGCGCACACCGACGGGTTCCGCGGCAATTTTTAATGTGTCTAGCGGGAAAAGTTATCCAGTGTCAGACTCGTAGTCTCTTCTTCCAACACGCTACTAACCTGTCATAAAACCAGCTCGACTTGGGCTGCACATGCTGTCAGCCGAGTAAGCCTGCGTGAATCTCGTTCCTTCATTTGCCATTCGATCTATTTCAGTATATTCCTGTGTTGGATGGCCATACGAGGCGATGTCGCCCCAACCTAAATAGTAATATCAGCAGACATGTGTAAGTTACTACTGATACTACTTTCTCTTACTATAAAATTAAAGCTCTATATATCTGATGATAATTACTAGATTACCTGAACACTTACTAGGAACATGAATCGAAGATCTCTCGACGATCGCAATAGAAAAGGTTTTGAAATGCTGTTTTTAGGCTGTCAGATAATTGATGCGAATTATGATGCTCTGGATTCCCTCCCCTCTCTGAGTGACATAGCTTTTTGCAACGATTATAGTGTTGCTGCACTACTGTTCGAATGGCCAGGATATCTGATGCCAGAGAGATAGATAGCGAAATTGCAGTCTCAACCAATCTACTAGACCTACGATTTCGAAGAGGATAAGTGGCTCAGAAGAAAACCGAGATATTGGACCAAGTGGCAATGATATTACTTCTTGCAGGTTTTTAAGTTCTGTTGTTACTCTGTGACTTCGACTTAAAACATGAGTGGCCGCAAAAGTCTTCCGCCGTTAATGACCGTAGATTTAAGGCCTTGTTAGAAGAAGTTGCAAGTACTTCTCCGCGAAAACTAGCAGGAGAAAGAGGTGTGATATTTCGACTGCTTTGAGACATTCAGGAAGAATTTAGAGAGTCAAAGAGCTAGACAAATTGATTCCTATGTATTAATCAGTATTTGACGGAATTGCCGGTATGAGCTTCCAAGTCTACTCAGATTTCGCAACAGGAGAGACTGTTTTCTTGATCGTCCGGCATCTTGCAAAAAATTGGCTAATTTATGACAGTCGGAAAAAATCGGCACACTAGTTGAGCTACGACGAAACTCCTCACTGCCTCTTGATCGAAATTCACCAGAAGAAAATGTGATTCGCCTCAAGTTTGATGCGTCGTAGCTCCCCAAAATCCAACAGGACATTTACCAGAGAGGAGCACATTTTGCAATAAACCGGATGCATCACAAGATTTGGCCACTATGCCTTTGCAAACGACGGAAGAGGACTCATCCTACTTTACAACAAGGTGTTGTACACAGCACAACTCGAGCTGCAAAAATTAGAAGACTTTGGGAACAGCCGGTACCTTATAGATCGTGTTCGTCGAATCAGTTTTCCATCGGATACAATTTCGTCTGATATCTCAAAAGCTGTTCAAACTAGGAGTGCTTTAGTGGGTATCTTTATGAAGAATCCTCACAGTGAGCGCTTGGACATTAGGAGCAGGTGTCTCACATTACAGTAATGAATTTGATTCTTCGTTTATTTTCTTTGTATGTTGCATGTAGATTGTGGATAATTTTTCGAAGATTTCACAATTTTCTTCCTTCTTTCATTTCCATTTGTTTCTTGTTTCATAGTTTCTTCAGCTTCGAAGGTGGAAGGTAGGCTCAAAGACAATCGAGTCTTGCCTCGTGTTTGATTTGTGAAACTTTTGAAAAAAGTAAGTTCGAAGATTACGAACTATGAAACCTAGATGGGTGAAAAGTGCAAAGCATTTTCAGGGTGGTTCAACAGCAAACCTCATAATTACAACGATAACATTCATATCACCAGATATTAGTACATAGAAAAAAAGGAAATTGTTTCATAATTACTTAATCGCTCTGTGGTCTATCTAATGATTCTGTACAGTAGCCAGGAACTGTTTGATAGTTTCGGATGAATTCTGCGATTAATGAAGAGCTTCATTCGGGAAATTCCACTAAGTATCCACTTTCAATTTCCATATCCCATCTTACCG